ACGGGTCTAATTATAGGTTTTAAAATTGGTGAAATGTAACAGACCCGGGTCTTGTATCCGGCCATTTACGGTACATATTTGTAACAGCCAATAAACATAAACTAAATACAGAAATATGATTGGTTAAATGCAGAGTTGTTACACGTAACAGTTGTTACGAATACATTTTTTCTACAATATCAATTTTATATATTAAGTTAAAAAATAGAGCCGAAACACCGAACATGACGCACTGGATCACGGATAACCAATGCACTTACCGAGATCTGTATCGATATATTATTGGGTAATTAAAGAATCAATTTTTTATATTATTCTCATTTCCCATTGCTATAAGCTATCTTCTGATTAGTCAATCACTTACAATTGTGTAGAGTACATATCACAAATAGTAAATGAAAATTACGACCATTTCGCTTTACATATGGGCGAATTTGCGTCATTATTACTAAAAATGGTAAAATATTTGACGGGGAATAACTTTTTATTCACTGATCCGTTTGGGATGATTTTACCCCCAAAATGACCGTCTCGGTGAGACGATTCTAACGAGCCTAAAATTGTCGAAATTTAATCATGGGATCCCGAGATAATCGAGGTTTATATTGCTTCGGGTAAAATAGGATGGGTTAAACCCATCCTATTTTACCCGAAGCCAATAAGTTTTTAATTATCTCGGGATTCTATGATTAAATTTCGACAATTTTAGGCTCGTTAGAATCGTCTCACTGTGATGGTCATTTTGGTGGTAAAATCATCCCAAACGGATCAGTGAATAAAAAGTTATTCCCCGTCAAATATTTTACCATTTTTAGGGGATGGCTAAAGCCATGTACCCACGTGATTTTGACGTTTTAATCGTTTTAATTAAAATTAAGGTTAGAATTAGGGTTAGTTTGGTGTCAATATAAGAAGAGGCTTATAGGTAAAATTCCCTTCCCGACATTTTTAATTAGTGCCCCAAGAAAGGTTAAGACTGCCGTTTTTCGTCTTTTTGCGTTTTCTTTATTTTTTGACTTCTTCGGGCTGATCCGTGTAAACAAAATTTCGCAATTCCGGTTGGTTGATTTACACAAAAAAGTCACGTGGGTACATGGCTTTAGACGACCCCCATTTTTAGTAATAATGACGCAAATCCGCCCATATGAACAGTTACTACGGTCATACCTCTTTATAATCACACTTTTGGGCGCAACAGAAATCGTGATTATATGGAGGTATGATTATAAGCGGTGTTTAACATCAATCAATATACCACTGTATCGCCATCAAAAATGACACTTTCACGTGACGATCTACATCGATTAGCCAATAATTAATCACAATTTGGTGTAACGTAACACGATCGCGAAGATCCAAAACAAACGTCAATTTTGTCAAAAATCGTTTATTTCTCAAAAATTCACATAAGAAACCGCCTTTCGTGCACTAACAAAAAAAATTCCTTGAGTAATTTTACTATACCCCCCTCATTCTTTAACATTAGTTTAAACGCTAACCCTAACATAAACGAACTTAAAAGTTTTTTTCGATGGTCACGTGAAAGTGACATTTTTGATGGCAGATTCAAAAAATTGGATGTTCATGTTACCATCGACCAATAGAACTGCACATACAATGGATATTACATGGAAGGATAGGCACAGATTCAAATTCCGCTCATTTTATATAAAAACTAGTATTGTGGACAGTGAACAAAAAGAATTTTTAGATGTGCGCATCGCCACACATTATATTTATTATTATTTTACTAATAAAAATATCAGGTGATGTGCGCTAGTTTAATATGTATAAGTCGAATTTTAAAGATACGTATGTAAATAATATAGGAATAAAAGCATATACCCAAAAAACTGAATGGTAATAAAAATTTGTACTAAGCACATTAATTTTAAAAGTGCGCAAAGCGCACATCAATTTTATGTAAAATTTAGTGCGCAGAACGCACATAATTTGAATCTGAATTTTTTTCACTGATTGTGAACAAATGTCAAATTAACTAGCATTTTAAAGTATAGATCATTCCCTAACGAAAGTAACCTAAATGATTGTCAAGGATGATGTTCATTACTGGATTCTTCTTGCGAAGTGAAATGTTGATAACTATATCTCCTAACAATAAGAACTGCAGCAGCTGTTAATATTATCAGCCCCGCAATACCACCAAATGTGCCTCCAATAATTGCACCAACATTAACAGATGACTCATTTGAAACATTGGAAATAGTAGAAGTAGAGGTCGATTTCGCAGTTGAAATAGATTGTAATGATTTGGTAGGATCATATGATATAGTCCATTTATAATTATCTTTTTGACTCACGTCAAGAAGAAAAACGTTGTTTGTACTATTTATTCCCATTGTACCTAAATTCAAAAGATACTTGTTCGTAAATTTTAGAATTAAATTAGAATATAAACAGTAAAATGCCTGATTTATAAAGTTCTCGATTAATCCATTACTATTCATGCAATAACGAGTAGTCATAAAAAAATATTTGTATATATTAATGGGATTATGAATTTATTGAATAAGACATGTCTCTTCGGCATTTTTCGTTAGTAATGAAAAATTTGGTAATCAAGAATAAATAACAAATACTGTATTTACTGTTGAATTCTTTAATTATAGAAAAACCCCCGATTCTTTGATATAGATATTAAATTTACTATACTGTTCCGAGCAAATTTCCCATAAAATGCATATATATATAACTCGGCGACAGTAGATTAAAAATATAAACAAATAACAAAATACTTCTTATAATTGAATAAAAATACATGAGCTACAAGTAACAAACCATTTCCAATTTATTTTCCAACCTTAACGCGCTTTTTTGATGGTGGCGCTGAATCTTCCTCTAAAAAAAAAAAACAATGCATTTTAAGTATTAATTTGGCAAAAGAATAGTATGGTAATATGAATAAATGTCCAACCTTCGTCAGATTCTTCTTGAAAATCTTCTAAGTCAATTTCTCCTTCATCGTCCTCTTCATCCTCGAAAGTAAAATAACTAGTTAAATTGAATATAACGATAAAACCATTAAATACAGTTTGAGGAAATTCAAATGAATGATATAAATCTTATTAATTACATCCAGGCCTGAGGATATAAGTCATCTCTGATTGATCTTCCTAACTCCCAAGACATATCATCTGTATTATGTTCGGTAAACCATCGAATAAGACTTTGATCTTCTTCGTCGCCCCTACGCTTTTTTGTGAAATCCTATATTGAAATATAAGCCCAAACATTTCAATCATTTTTTATTTACTAGTTAATAGAATCACAATCAAATTTAAAGTCCTATCTTTCTACCTTGCCTTCGTTCCATGCGATTTCAGTGGTTTTTATATGCCGTCGTCCTTCCGCATCTACCGAGAATTCCTAATTAAAGCGTTTGAATCAATAAATATATATAACAGACTAATAAAAAGTGGCTTGGCATAGTGAATGGACTGCTATGCAAACCTTTACAATTTCAGTGTTTGTGAAATAGGGATTTTCAGAAAATGTCAATTTGATCTTATAATTATCTAAATTTATTTCATCTCTCTCAATAATTAGTTCGTTGAGGCATTGAACAACCTATTTTAAAATTATAAATTTGATTATTTCCTCCTAGTTTGCGATAATCAATAATAAACGTATTTTAAACGGTACCTCAAAATCATCAGAATCTAAAAACTGGGCTATCATATATCAGAAGGAAATGGAAGTGAGTACAAAGGTGTTAAAGTATTTACTTATCTATTAAGGAAATGAACTTTTACTATTTTTGAAAATAATAACTTACCGACATGTGGGTGGTTCATGAACTGTTAATAAAAGTTATGACAATCGTGAATTTTACAATAATAATCAAAATAAATACGTTAATTTAATTAAAGGATGTTAAGATGATAATTCATACGGCTGTTGTCCAAAACCTTGGAATTTTTTCAAAGATTTTCCGTCGTTTTTCGTAAATTGGAGCCAAAAGTTTCACTTGTTGTCGTGCTATATTATGATTGTAAATGAAATAGAATAAAAATTAAATCATCTCTAGCTAGTTTAGGCTGGTGGCTTTATTTGGTCAAACTCAAACATCTAAAATCTATAAAGTTACTCACCAAGTTCTGTTTCTACCTGCTCAAATTCGTGAAGCAAAGACTTCATCTCTTCAAAAACGCCTTCGTCGATTGCCCCAGATTCGCCATTGTTTGTCTCAACTTTCGAGCTACTTGCCATCTTTTACGACAACTCTTCAGATTCGCAGAAATCAACGAAGCAATTAAATTTGCACAAATATCTAGGCCTTATAAATAGCATTTACGATTATAGCTAGTCAAATTGCCATTGGCTTAGCCGAAATTAGGTAGGCATTGTGTCACGATGTACCAGAAGACTGGCAGAAGAATGATCATTATTTAAATCTTTAAATTTCTTCGTTAAATGTTGAAATATTCATAACGTCGGTGTTTGAACGATTCTTAGAATTCTGATTATAGAGCTTTCCAATTACTATTTTAAATTTATAACCTTTATGTTGTAAACTTAAAAGCTCTCGATTAGTTCTTTGCTGATGACATGCTTGCACTTATTCTCGAAGGAATAAAGGATTTTCTATAGTATTGGTGGGATACCCCACTCTAATATATAGATTACTAATTCCTCTGATACATAGAAAATTCTCGGTACGAAACTAGATCAAAGTGAATTTAGCACGTACGTACATAATTGTAATACCATATACTGCCCAAAATTATCTAAATTGTATATTAAACCACTTGAGTTGAGCCGGTTTCAGACTGGGGTTGTGACCTAGTTTCAGGACCAGGACCGGATCGGGACTGGACCGGACTTTTCTGACATCCCAATTTTTATAAGCTTTTTTAATTCTAAAATCTATCCCTTAAACCGTTTTCCAGGCAAATTTGCCTGGAAATTTCATGATTGACCTGTGATTAAGCTATTAAATCGTAGTAAATATGAATGCCGCCAAGGGAAAATCCGCAAATCTTATAAGATTTGCGGGTTTTCCCTTGGCGGCACTCATATGTAGTTAAATTGACGGTTTAAGGGATAAATGTTTGCTTTATTAAATGTTTCCGAATTTTGTCCAAATTATCCGAGTTACAACGCTGCCCTTATCGATCAAACTTTCGTACGTATTAGTAGTCAATCTTTTTATCTTTATATAGCCTAACCCCGACAGCACCCAGACGATTTCTGCTATCATGTAGATCTTGTGTAACATCAATATTATTGCTGTATTGAATGCAATAATATATTTTTTTCGAACTTTAGAAGAATATTTAACAATAACTACCCATCAAAGTAGATAAAATTGTTTTATTTTAATGATATAAATTCGTAGAATTAAAATAAAAATTAATTCATCGTTCTTAGATGGGTAGTTATCAAGGTATTATCGCTCAAAGTTTGAAAAAGCTTAGCCTCGGTCTTTTAAACTTTGATCGAGGATATCTCGATAACTACCTATCCAAAATCGATGAATTTTTTTTATTTTAATTCTATGAACTCATAAAATTAACATAAAAAAATTCCATCGGTTTTGGATAGGTAGTTATTGAGATATCCTCGTTCAAAGTTCAAAAAATTTAGCGATCATCAAAACTAAGTTTTTTTCAATCTTTGAACAATAATATCTCGATAACTACTTACGTACCTAAAATCGATAAAAATTTTTTTATTTATCGCTCTTTTCGATTTATATAGTTGGATATGCCCAATTTTGAAGATCATTTTTTTGAGTCCGATTATGTTATAGGTAACTACCTTTTATTCGTCGTATTCTGTGGAACTCATTTGGGATCTAGAAAAATCACACTCTGACATTTTCCGATCAGCTTCCGATTTACATGTAAATCACTTTTTTCCTTTATTGATTCAATAGCTTATCGAATGAACATTTGAATCAATGATGACAAAAATGATTTATATACAAATAAGTACTGATATATTGAATTTGTACAAATTAGCCCAATTGAAAAATGTAATAAAATGATGCAAATCATTAACTCTTTCCGACGATCACTTGTACCAAATTTTTTCTAAAAACAATCACTCTATTCTCTAAATTTTACTAAGTAAACCTACTTTGGCCGCCTAAGTAAAACTGTTCTACAG